TGACTCAACCTAAGTGATCATGCATAAAAATAAAGCTAAAAACTATTTAAAAACTATTCCCGACTCAAATAAATAAAATATGGAGACTAAAGTATGTGGTAGAACCTGCCCTACTCCGAAGGAGTAGGCTGTGTGCTCCGGACAGCCACGTTGATTTCTGCCTTTAGCCTTGCATTCTCCTCCTTGTAATGTGTCAACTTCTTTTGCAGCTTCTTGATCGTACCAACAGCTCCCTTTCCAAGCTCCTCTTTCAATTTCTTGAACCTCTTCTTAGCCTTTCTTTCACTTTTCTTCAACTGCTCCATCAACTCAGCTTGCATTCCCTCAATCTTCTCTACCATCTCAGCCCGATGGTCCATCAAACAGTCCATTAAGTTGCTGCCCTGTGCGAACAAATCCTCCATAACCCTCGTCATTCCCGTGTGTTCCCTTCCTCAGTCACCTCTCTCTCTTAGCCGTGATACTGCTTTCATATCGATTGACCACTTTTCCTCACTCTCCTTGATCACTAAGTCATCTGTATAATGAGGCACCCCCGCTTGCAACAATAGTTTGTTAAGTAGGCCCGGGAAAAATAATTTCTCTTGATTCCTCCTCGCACAATAGAGGATGGCCTTTTCAATAACCTCTCCCACATCAATTGATTTACCCATAACTACACAATATAGTAAAATAACTCTCTCAACCGAAATGGAGGTATCATGAGTTGTTGGGTGGAGAGAGTGTCGAATAAAATTCATCCAAACATTTGCATCGGGAGTCAAGTTGGAAGCCCTTAAAGATCTCAGCATGTAATTGCTGTGGGAGTCTCATGTGCCTCCGGGCTTGCCTAACTCTCTACCAATCTCTTCTAATTTAGCTTGGGATGCTTTGAGGGAGAGGGTACCGTACTCAGTTTTTCTCGAGGGTGATAGGCCCAAAAGTTTGTTTATGGCCTTAGCCGAAAAACTGACCTTAACACCCCTCACTTTGAGTTTGGTGGTACTAAAAACACAAGTCTCCGCATAAAATTCTTTCATCAATGTCAAATTAAAAGAATTATTTACCTCACACAATGCTTGCCAACCGTGCTTGTCAATGACTTCCTTTATAAAACCAAATACCTCGACACTCCTTTGATCAAATCCCTTATCGGGCAACACCTTCTTGTTCCTAAACTTGTCAAACATTTCCTGCGCCTTGTCTGAAATGAATCCATCAAAAGGCATCTGGGGCCTCGTAATGGTTTTGGGCTTGGGCTTGGACTTTACCCCAGATGGACCTGCTGTCTCGGACTGTATTGAGGATCCCTTTCGGGATGACTTACGTGGTGCGAAGGCCGTGTGCCGTAAGTGAACAGAAGGTACAGGAGTATGTTTTGCTCATTTTCTAGGAGGCTGTACTACTTTGGATTTAGTTGCAAACACTCTCCCTAGCCCTTTTCTTTTCTTTGTGGGTATAGGTGTCATACCCCTAAGATCAACTTCTACGTCCATCCCAATTGTAGGGGACTTAGTGGGTTCTTCAACAGATTGTGTATCAATATCAAACTCAAAAGGGTCTTTAACAGGTTGTGCATAGTGGTCAATGGCAACAGATTCATCCTCAACAGGTGGTGTACTATGATCAAACTCACTGTGTTCCTCAAAAGTGTGGGGAGCAGAATCGGTCACAACTTGGGTTCAGGCAAGTGGGTGTAAGGGTGATCATACCAAGTCAAAAGATAGACTTTTGTCTCATTCAAATCAGTGGGTGATGGTGTTGAAATGTTCATGAAATCTTCTTCCTCCTTAGAGGAGTCAGAGGTTGTAAGTCCCTCTACCAATGAATTAGGGCTGAAATTAAGATTTACCTCAAGACCCAATCTAGGGTTTGCAATCGCTGGTGAGGTTGCAGGAATGGTGTCGATGACAATAGGTGGAGAAAGTGAAGGTTCGTCGACGGTTGGCGGAGGTGAGTGCGAAGATTCGGCCGTGGGTTGTGGAGGAGACGGTGGTCGTCTTGTTGTGCGCTTAGCCCTAGGCGAAGAATCAGCGATGAGGGGTGTGACCAACCGTGGTCTAGGCGGTGATGGTGAAGAGGGGGAAGATGATGATGGGCTGTTGGCGACGAGGTCCACCCACTCGGGCTCACTCGTCCGTCGCGAAGCAGAGGTAGCGGCTCGCTGGCGATTGCTCCTTCGTACCGGCGGTGGGGGTAGGTCACGGATGACGGGCTTCTTTGAACGGGCCATGATTGTTTCAATAGACAGTAGGTTTAGAGAAGGTGATAAGATGAAGGTATTGTTTGGAATGTAGTTGATTAATGGAGAAAAGATGTTTGAAGGAGAGGCCGGCGAAATGTGGCGATGGTGATGATGGTCATTGGGAAGATGGAGTGTCTCTTCTCCAACCAGTCTCCACCTTTTTCTTTTGAAGAAAATTGACAGTTGAGTCAAGAACTGGTGAATAAAACGGTTATAATGGAGGGAGTGGGTGGTGTATGCATGGGAGACCAAACTGAAAAGAATAGGCTGACAACAATTCTTTTCTGATTTTTCCAGGCTGTTGCTGATGTCATTGTACTTTCTGTGATTTTCTCAAATTGTTTTCACCTAACTTCATATGTGAAATCTGGACAAGAATGCTATAGCATCAGCAAAGCATCAACTTTTCTCACCACCTTTTCAAAATTATCCTGCACACTAACAAACGAATAAAACATAATTGCTCTTAATATAAAAGGAAACATATTTACAAACACCATTGGACTTTGGAAAGTCCACAAAACACATTCATTTAAGGTGTAGCCCAATTCTCAGAGCAATGCTCTGGGAATGCTACAGTATCATGAAATACCTTAACTCGCTGCCCATTTACTTTAAACACCGTGTTGTCCTCTGGGTTAACGAGGTCAATCACTCCAAAAGAGTAAACTTTATCAATGACAAAGGGTCCAGACCATCTAGACTTGAGCTTTCCCGGGAATAGTTTCAACCCAGAGTTAAATAAGAGGACCTTTTGCCCTTCTTTCAACTCCCGATGTTGGATCCTATTATCATGCCATTTCTTTGTCTTTTCTTTATAAATTTTGGCATTTTCATAAGACATTTGTCTTTGTTCTTCCATTTCACAAAGTTGAAACTTTCTTTTCTTTCCGGCTTCATCCAAAGACATATTGAGCTCTTTGATAGCCCAATATGCTTTGTGCTCAAGTTCTAAAGGCAAATGGCAGGCTTTTCCATAGACTAACTTATATGGAGACATTCCAATTGGTGTTTTGAAAGCAGTTTGGTATGCCCACAAAGCATCGTCTAATTTGAATGCCCAGTCCTTCCTATTGGGCTTGACCACTTTTTCCAAGATGCTTTTGATTTCCTTATTAGAGAGCTCTGCCAAACCATTAGTTTGAGGGTGATAGGCCGTGGTAATTCTGTGGTTAACATTATATTTTTCAAGGACTCCTTTTAACAAATTGTTCACAAAGTGGGTACCCTCGTCACTAATTAGTGCCCTTGGGGTACCGAACCGTGTAAAAATCTGTTTTTGGAGGAACTTAACCACAGTTTTTGCGTCATTTGACACACATGCCATAGCCTCCACCCATTTGGATACGTAGTCAACAACCACCAGTATGTATTGGCAATTATTTGATGGAGGGAAAGGACCCATGAAGTCTATTCCCCAAACATCAAATAATTCAACTTCGAATATCCCATTTAATGGCATTTCATTCCTTTTGAAAATGGAGCCACTTCTTTGACATTCGTTGCACCTTTGTGCAAAATTGTGGGAGTCTTTAAAAATGGTTGGCCAATAAAAACCGGACTGTAAGACCTTGGTTGCAGTCCTTTGGCCTCCAAAATGGCCTCCGTATGGTGCATGATGGCAATGCTGTAGGATTGCTGCCACTTCAAATTCAGGTACACATCTTCTTAGAATCTGATCTGCACCAAGTCTAAACAAAAATGGGTTATCCCACAAATAAGATTTAGCATCATGAAAGAATTTTTTCAACATGTGGCCTGTGTAATCAGAGGGTTTTATTCCACAGGCCAAGAAATTAGCTAAATCAGCAAACCATGGTGTTTTTGGTTGGTCAATCAAGAGGATTCTTTCATCKGGAAAAGTATCACTTATGTCCATTCCTCCTTTCTCGGGTTCTTCCAACCTAGACAAATGGTCCGCTACTTGATTCTCTACCCCCTTTATATCAAGTATCTCTAAGTCAAACTCTTGCAATAAAAGCACCCATCTTATTAACCTAGGTTTTGCATCTTTCTTTGARATTAGGTACTTGATGGCTGAGTGATCGGTATGCACAATTACCTTTGTTCCCATCAAATAGGACCTAAATCTCTCAAAAGCAAAAACTATGGCCAATAATTCTTTCTCAGTTGTGGTGTAATTAATTTGTGCCTCATTTAAAATCTTACTTGCGTAGTAGATTGAATGAAACACCTTCTCCTTCCTTTGTCCCAGCACAACACCTACCGCCCAATCACTAGCGTCACACATGATCTCAAAAGGTTTGTTCCAATCCGGGGCAACCACCACTGGTGCGGTAACCAAGGCTTTTTTCAAAGTGGTGAATGCATTTCTGCGTTCATCATTAAAATTGAATTTTTGGTCATGCTGGAGGAGTAGACAAAGAGGTTTTGAAATTTTTGAAAAATCTTTGATAAACCTTCTATAAAATCCAGCATGACCCAAAAAGCTTCTGATTCCCTTTACCGTGGTAGGTTCGGGTAGTTTTTCAATTAC